ATTGGTACTTCTCAGGCATTTTCTTCTTCAAGTTCATCCGATGATGAACTTGAACAACTACTACATAGTTATGATACAGAGCAATATCTGATAGCACAACAAATTTATAACAACAATATTCTTGTACAAGAATTTCTCAGAACTCAATAAGGTGGTCGAAGCCATGGATGTTCAGTTCTTGGTCGAAAAATAATATTTCGTGATCGAGAAACAGCTGCAAATCGCCTTTTTAACGATTATTTTTTAAAAAAATCCACGATATAATGAAGCTATGTTTCGTACACGTTTTCGAATGTCTAGAAATTTATTTTTTCGTATAGAAAATGCAGTTAAAAGTCACGATGATTATTTTTTGCAGGAAAGAGATGCAGTTGGTAGACTCGGATTGTCTACCTATCAAAAGTTAACTGCCGCGCTTCGGATAATAGCATATGTTTTACCAGTAGATGCAACAAATGAATACATAAATATTGGAGAGTCCACTGCAATTGAATGCTTGAAGAAATTTTGTCGTGCTATTGTAGAGATATTCGGATAGCAATATCTACATTCTCCCAACGCCAATGACATTACAAGACTCATTTATATCGGTAAGAAACATGGCTTTCTAGGAATGTTAGGTAGTCAAGATTGTATGCATTGGCGTTGGAAAAATTTTCCAACGGCTTGGGCAGGTGTGTATACAACACGTAGTAAATCTCCAACTATTATTCTAGAAATTATAGCCGACTATGATCTTTGGATATGACATGCATACTTTGGCATGCCTGGATCCAACAATGATACTAATGAGTTGGAGAGGTCCCATTTATTTTTCGACCGTACTCGACGAATTGCTCCTCCAGCACATTATGTCATCCAATGAAAAGAGTACAACTATGGGATATTATTTAGCAGATAATATATATACGAAATAGTCAACTCTTGTCCAAACTATTCGTGACCCACGTAGTAAAAAAAAAAAAAAAAATTGCAATGAAGCAAGAAGCATGTAGAAAGGATGTTGAGCGTGATTTGGAGTACTCCAAAGTTGATTTGTTATTATGGCTAATCCTGCTCCATTTTGGAGTAAAAATGACTTACAAGATATAATGACTGCATGCATTATTTTTTGCATAATATGATAATTGAGGATGAGCGAGATCTCGATACACCGATTGAAGTTGCGATAGAGGCCCCGATCCCATATGTTGAAACGGTGGGTAATGAAGCTTCTCAGTTCCAAGCAATTGTTGCTCGATACAAACAAATTCGAGATAAAGAAGCTCATATCGCACTTCGTAATACATTAATTAATCATTTATGTGAGGAACTTTTTAGTTCAGAAAATTAGATGTAATGTTATCGTAATCGTTATTTGTAATAATTTCTATTATTTTCATTGTAATCGCACTTTCAGCGGTGTGTATTTATCATATATGTGTTCATTCTTAAGAGATAGATCCTGCCACCTATCCTCTCTTCTCTTCTCTTCTCTGATTTATCCTCTTTGGGAAAGCTCGCCCTCTCATTTTTGACATCATGTCTAGCCATCTACTTGAGCTTAGCAAACTCCTCCTTGGTCTCCTCCATATTCACATATTTCTTGCATCTCTTCAGCGCATCATCATAAGTTCTGACCAGTGTCTTAGCAAGGGAGATTTGACAAGGTCCAGCCCATAAACTTTTGATTAGAACTCCAGACTTGACCTCGTCCGAGGCTGAAGGTATCTCCATGCAAGATCGTTTGTACCTGGCCACATAATTCCTCACAGATTTGCCCTCCTCCCACCTCATCGCCATCAGAGTCAGATAAGTTTTCTACTGGGCTATTTCACTAGCATATTGGTTCAAGAACATGTTCGAAAAGTCCTCAAATCTCTCAACGACCTTGGGGATAGTTGGTGAAATCAATCTTGAGCTCCTTCTCTCAGGGTAGCTAGAAAAGCTCGGCAGCTCACTGTATCCAAATAACCATGCAAGACAGACATATTTTCAAAAGACCTCAAATGCCTAGAAGGATCCATTGAACGTGATAAGTAAGACTGACCTCCCTGAAGTTGGTAGGTAGTGCAACTTACATAATCTCTGGGGAAAAAGGATGCCCTCGAGCTCGACTAACAGCTTTTCCTTCGACCTTCACATGATGTTGATGGATTTGCTCCACCATTCTCTCCATAGCTTGATCTCTGTGTGCCACAGTGTTTCTGCTAATCGACTCCTCGCCCTCCGTCTCTTGTCAGGTCAATCGTACCACAATCCACAATAGTGGGTGTAGTGGTTGCATGTGAAGTTTGTTGAGTGAACTGCTAGGCTGCTCTGGTTACGAAGACGTCTGCAATCATCTTTCCAAACTCCTCTTTGGACAACGTAACGAGTTGTCGCCCTCCTTGCTCAACCTCGCTCTTAGGTGGCCCCATCACTTGGGTCATCGCTTGTTCTAGTTGTGCCTGGACTGGAAATGCGACCTCCTTAGTCGTTCAGGCCTCCGATGGGTTGCTCGACCCTGCTGCTACAACAAGGACCAACTTGAACTCCCTAAGCCCGTAGGATGAGGTGTCGGGGTCACCGGAGTCTGCGATGGTCCAAAGAATCAAGGTGGTGGGCCTGCTACGAACGAACATGTGGTTGTCCACTCGAAATCAAAAGTTGGCTATAAATTCTTTTTTGAAAATCTCGTTCACTATGGATAGTGGAGCTTCAATGGATTTTTGGACAAAATTCCTACAAATGGTGCCAAATGGTATATAAGAGATCCTCGACTGACTCGATTTGACCTGATCTATCTTCCTCATCGATGAATGACTTTCAAGTAAAGAAGATGATGAACAATATGTAAGTGTATGGAAAGTGTAATGTTCTAAGGGGCATACCTCACTCCTTTTTATATGGAGATGTTACCTTTTTGCCCAAGACTGCCCGAGTGAGCTGCCCGGACTGCCTGAACAGCCCTTCCGTACTGCCCAAGCTGCAATTCTATTATGCCATGTGGCCCTATCCACGTGTATTCCTTATCCTGTTAATATTCCTTCTTATCTATTAGTCTGCCTTATTAGAGTGTCTAATCGCGCGGCTGGTCTGAATGACCTCAAGATAGAATGTTGCGTAAGTTGACTCGCGCATCGTCTATCTGGTCGATCATGCGACCAGTCCTACCTTCAAGTCGAGTTTCCACCAGAACTTCTGAGGGCCTTGACTCGACTTGTTGATGTCTCTTTGAACCTCTAATATCCTTCTCGACCTGAAGACACCTTGCTCTGTAACAACGTTCGACCTTTGTTCGATCTACTTGTGCTTCTGTTCGACCAACCGATTTTCCCAACTTGGCCAGTTGGTTTATCGGGTTTGTTTTGCCTGGTGTTGTATCCCATATTAGACTGATAGTTAAACTTGTACAAAAATTTGTCATTTTCAATCTTTTACATTTCTACTTGGCTAAAAAGCCATCTAGCTGTAAAATTATTGTAAAATGCAGTAAATCATTCTAGTGAGATAAACATTTAATGTGTTCTTATCAACTCTAAGAAAGTAACCTAATCGTAGATGCAAATATATTTTAGAGACGAGACATAGCAAAAATCCAGTCCTCATGATTCTGATGCGATGAGCTTGCCGAGGGACCACCATTCTCATTGTCCTCGGGAAGTGATGACCGCAAGACGTCGGTAAAGTTCCGGGCTAGCTCCCTCAGCTGAAACTTCTGTACTTTCCCAGTGGACGTCTTGGGTAGCTCCTCCACGAATGCCACCTTCTTTGGTACCATGAACCCCGGCAGCCTCTCCCGGCAGTGCCGCACGATCTCCGCTTCATTGACCTCTGGTTCCCCTTTCTGTAGTTTCACGAAGGCGCATGGGCTTTCCCCCCATCTTGGATGTGGCATCGCCACCACCGCCGCCTCCACCACCATCGGGTGCTCATACAATGCTGCCTCCACCTCTACGCTGCTTATGTTCTCCCCTCCCGATATGATCACGTCCTTCAACCGGTCCTTGATTTCCACGTACCCATCTGGGTGGACCACCCCAGCATCACCAGTGTGGAACCACCCGCTGCCCCCTCGGAAGGCCTCCTGAGTGGCCTCTTCGTTCTTCAGGTACCCCTTCATCACACCACTCCCCCTTAGCACGATCTCCCCCACCGTCCTCCCATCACGCGGGACGCTCCCTCCAGCCCTGATCACGTCTACGTCTGCCAGAGTCAGCACGCTGATCCCCTGTCTTGCCTTGAGCCTCGTACGGTCCCCTCGCCCTAGGCGATCCCACCTAGCCTGCCACTCGCAGATCAGCGCAGGGCCCGTCGCCTCTGTTAGGCCATACGCATGGGTCACGTGGAAGCCAAGCCCCTCGACCCGCTCAATGAGGGCGGCCGGGGGCGAGGCCCCACCCGTAAGGACCTCGACAAGGGCGGGCGTTCGACGGGGCACGTCTTCCAGCAGGATGTTGAAGACGACCGGGGCGCAACACATGTGGGTGACCTTGTGGAGAGAGATGTTCTCGTGAATTTCGTTGGCGGTGGTGCTGCGGATACAGACGTTGGTGCCTCCGCGGGCTGCCACACCCCAGGTGAAGGTCCAACCATTGCAGTGGAACATGGGAAGGGACCACAGGTAGACTGGCTCCGGCCCCATCCCCCATCCGATGATCAGGCTGAGTGTGCTGAGGTAGGCGCCACGGTGACTATACACCGCACCCTTGGGCTCGGACGACGTGGTCCCCGATGTGTAGTTGAGGGCGATTGGGTCCCACTCATCCGACACCTCCTCAGGGCCATAGGACGGGTCGCCTCGACGAATGAGGTCCTCGTACTTGAAGGAGCCGTGGCGGGTGCCCGTCGGGGAGAGCATGTCGTCGACGACGACCACCAGTGGCATGGTGGCGTTACCGTCCGTCAGAAGGCGGAGGGCGTCGCGGGCCACGGGGATGTATTGCTGGTCGATGAAGAAAAACTTGGCTTCCGAGTGACGGAGGATGGTGGCTATGCTGCGGGCGTCAAGCCTCGTGTTTATGGCGTTGAGGACGGCTGTCGCCATTGGCACCGCGAAATGCATCTCATACAGGGCCGGGATGTTCGGCGCCAACACCGACACCTGGGATCCACCAGTCGAAAAAAAGCGTGCTTTAAATTTTTATTGTGACAATATTTTGAGTTACATCATTAAAACTCATTATTTAATTTTTTTTAAAAAATCATTTAATAAGATTAAAAAATATTAATAATATTATAATAAAATTTTTGAAGAAAAAAAATAGCAATAAAATTATTGATAAGTAGCTAATTAACTTCCTTATATTTATCATTAGTTAGTATTACTATATAGTAGAATATTAAAAAAATATAATTACATCTAAATTAATATAAAATGTAACGGTTGGCTACAAACTAAAAATTGTTAGTCAATTGCGACTTAACGTTGCATTTCATGATATATACATATATATATATATATATAGGGGCCGGTTCAAATAAAAACTAGTCCTGGTGTGAGAACCGTGAAAACCGTATTTGATGCTATTTTTAATTGTGTATGATGCTATTTTTCATATTAAATGATGCTATCATTTTTACAAACTCTAACAGAAATTGTGTTGCTATTTTAATAAAATTCATCCTAGTTAAAAATAGCACCAAGCACAATCAATCATAGCACTACGCACAATTAAAAATAGCGGTTCTTACGGTTCTCGCACTAAAACTTGGTTCTCATTTGAACCACATCCTATATATATATATATAATCAATATGTAAAATAAAGAGAAAACGAAATGTATTGCATTAACAGAAGGACATATTATATAATCTTCAAATAATAGTAAACCTTTTTAAAGAGATCTAGTTTTATAATTTTTGCTAAAATCAATTTAGAAAAAATAAAAAGTAAAAAATAAAGACCAAAGATAACATTGCCAACAATTATGCTACGCACCACGTCATTCTTGGCGATGTTGAGGGACTTGAGAGCGGCGGCAAGGCGACAGCACCTTTCGTAAGTCTGCCGCCAAGTGAAAGAGAGGCGGCCATAGATTATGGACTTACGGTCAGAGTAAACGACGGCGGCCCTTTTCAAGAAAGTCAAGGGAGTCAGGGCCACGTAGTTTGCTTCACATTTTGGCAATTTATCCATTCTAATTTATGAGGTTTTAGGCAAGTATATGGTATTTAGTGCAAAGAGCTAATTTAAATATTTTGGATATTTTTCTTTTAAAGGGAGTTATACTAGATTGAAAAAAGGACTAGATTGGCTTAACTCTGGTTTTTTTTTGGTTTGCAAGTTGGATACATATATATAAGCGGATGACTACAACACTAACAGAGATGTGATGGATGGAAGTTCACATGGAATTTACACCACGCATTTATTAAAAGCTTGAATTTTCAGCCAAAACTTTGACTTGAATGAATAACTTACCGGCCAATTGAATGAAAAATAGTTTTTAAAAAGTAGAAAAACATATCTATATATATATATATATAATAAGAATTAACATTTACCATAAATAGTAATAAGGAAAAGTCAACCCACATTTATTATATACTATTTTTAGCAATTTTTTTATTTTACATTTTAATTTTAATTCATTATCAAAAAATTGGATGATTCCTAAATTAATGAGTTTTAGATGACGTATCCTGTTTCAAAAATTATAAATCATTTAAAATCGGATGGTTTCTAAATTAATGGTTACAAACTTTTCAAAGTTGTAATCTTTATGACATCTTTTCTTTTTGACTTTTAATAATAAAATCATTTTAAGTATATATCTTCTAATCCAAAAATTCAATCATGTTATATATACCCAATCAATTAATCTTGATTTTTTTTTTAAATTACTATGTTTATTTTTTATTAATATGCATAAAATAAAAATAAATAATTCATCTTTAGATATATAATTTATAATCTTCATATACTATCATTTGGTGTAGACATATGAATCATAAATTTTTTTTATTTCATAAAATTAAATATCATATTTAAAGAAAATATAATGAAATTACTTTTGGATCAATCGGGTGATTGAATTAGGGTATTGCCCACGTTGATTGAATTACTTTTAGGTGATATTTAAAATAGTCAAAAAACTTGACATAACTTGGTTGGTCCCAGGTAACTAAGTTATGTATCAGTTTAACTAGACCAAATCGATTATTGAACCTAAATATAAATTTTAATATTGAAAATACTTTATTATGTAGTCCAAACTTCAAATAATCATATTAACAATACTTTTACGACAACATGATTAATAATTTAAGAATATTTATATATCATTTGATTATTATTTATGTGAACAAAATAATTATTTTATTATCATTTTTATTAATGTACGGTAAATATAAGATTTTCAGAACCGGAACGTCATCGAAACGATCAAGTTATTTTATTAAATCATTTGTAGTTGTTCAGATTTTAATACATAATACTTCAATATATATATATATATAGTACTTTTTGTAATAGATTTAAATAAAAAGTGTTACTTAAATATCTAAACAATTTATAAATTCAAATGTTTAAACTAATTGATAAACAATTTATAAATTTCTATTTTATTTAAATATGTAATTTTATTTAAAATAATTTTTAATGTAACAAAATTTGTTTAGAAAATCGTATCGATCCTACCAGTCCAACATACTGATGTTGACGGATTCGATAGCATATATTTTATTCAAGCGAAATATACTGGTTATAAACCGGTTCTCGGTCCATCAGGTCGGACTGTGTCCAACCCGGTTTAATTTAAAAATAATGGATAAATCATGATTAATGTTATTTATTTATTTAATTTATAATACAATCAAAATATTGTTTTCCCGTGCATCGCACGGGCCACGCACTAGTTATTGAGAAAAACGAGGTATTTTTTTAATTGTATTTGTATATAAAATAAAATATAATGATTAGAACTGATAAAGTATAAAAATAACTAATAATAATTGATACTTAAAAATATGTGGAGAGAGAAATAGTTTTGTTATAATTTTTTTTATTCTAATTGACAATTTTAGTTAGATAAATCTTAATATAACAACTAAGGATAAGCAAATCGTTCCGTTATTTACAAATCTCCAAAACCAAACTAAATAGAAGATCATAAAACTTTGATCTAATTAGGACTATTTGATCAAAGATCTTTACATTTTTGGATTGCATTCGGGTAAGAGATTCTTAGGCTATTGGGACAGATATCATATAGTTCAGTTTGGCAATTACAAGATTCCTAACTATGTTAACTAAGATACGAAAGTAAAATTATTAATCAGAATAATGTTTTTAAGATAAATATATATTTATAATAAAATATCGACATGTTTTATGACTTTCCATTTGTATGTATATTAAAACTTATTAAAGATTTTATTTTCAAATCAACTTTAAAAAATAAAAGAAAATAATGAATCATAGTATTAGTCTAGGCTTTATTTGTGAAACCTAGAAGTCAATATTAATTTGAACCCTAATAAAATATGATATAACTTTAGAAACATTTTTTTCGTAATTTCTATATCATTTTAATTACAAGATAGACTAGAAGTAAGAACATAAATAAAAGATGCAATATCATTTCACTCTAAAAAATATTAAATTTATGTGATACTTTATTGCTATGGCATGTGATGGGTTCGTGTTATTCTATGTACTAATATTTGTGAAACCATCAAAGTCGTATCGATTATTTTTTCAGCTTTATTCGAACAAGAGAGAATTAAACAGTCAATTGTTTTATTTCACTTCAAAGTGATTTCTAGTTCATTCAAATTTTAAAACGGTTGAGTATACCAACATATCCAAATCCAATCATCCACCAAGTCTTCCCATTGGCTATGCCTCATGATCAACTGCCCTCTAGCTTTAATCCTTTAATTCACCATAGTTTTTCCGAAGATTGTTGTGAAAAATATCATCCAGAGGCCTGATTAAAAAAATAAAATAAAAAATGTATCAAATCTTACCTGAAGTTTGGATTTTTGTTAACGGTCAACATCAGATTTCGTTTTTATGTTCATCCGTGTTGGTTTACGTGTTCGTGAAAAACACATATCTGGCATATAGGAGAGGACCACTTACGTACTTGTCCATGTGAAATCATAATTTGAAATTGGCCAATGTGAACCACAACTTTCTCAATGGACCTACCTTCTAACAACTATTGATAATACTATTTTGACATAATTTTTTAACATAATGAATGACATAAATAATGTGTAATTGTAGAAGTTGTTGATTTTATAGTTGATGCTGATATGGGATACCATACCAGCATAACTAGGTGGTCGAAAAGCTACGACTGCAGAGGTTGTGGAATCATCAGGTAGATGATGACCTTGCAGATGAGATAACTTTCAAACAGGTCGAGCGAGGAATCTTGGCTAGCCTGGTGGAAGTTGACCTGAGGGCCCATAGGTCGATGTACGACCTAAGTGGTAGACTGACATAGCATTCAAGTTCAAGGGTAACGAGCTGATAGCACAATTAGAACACCTAATAAGGTAGACTAATGTGGATACATCACATAATGGATAAAAAGGAATATAATTGAGATAAGGACATGTGGTCAGTTTGGGCAACTGAACAGTACGAACGGGTAGCTCGGGCACTCAGGCAACCCAGACGGGCAGTCTTGGGCAACAAGATAACACCTATATATAAAGGGGTGAGATATGATCAAGGTCGAAATGGAGGGAAGAGATCAAAATGGAATGTTGAAAAGGCAAGTCGATTAGGACTGTTATATGAAAGTAAAATTGAGCGGACAGGATAAGAAAATAATTGCACGACGTTTGAGAATAGAACCATATTTGAAGCGAACACGTCGATAGAAAAAGACGTCATATATATTTGAATGGACGTCAGATCAATTTGACAATATATCAGGAATTTGAATTTCAAATTTTGAAATGGGGACCTTGTCCTTAGGTCGAGGCGATGGTTGTTACCAAAGGCAAAAAGAAAACAACTGAGGAAGAAACACAGATCGCAGTTCAAGTGAGTAAGGTTGAAAATGTTGTAGTTCATTTTATTGGAGTTAATTCAAAGGAATCAATCCCCGTGTCGTATCGCAAGGAATGCTTGCCGAATAATTTAATATGATTATTCAAGCACAAAAAGAGAAAATAAATTTCTAAACACTGTAATTCAATTTAGTTTTGGTTTTTGATTAACAATTAAAGATTCCAAACAACGCAATTACTCAATTTTCAACTTCAACAAGAGTCATATAATAATGAAGGAGCTAGGGATTAATTTCAAACGTAAATTTAAGCAATCAGTCATTCAGTTAAATGATTTTTTAACCTAGACATCCATAGATGCAACCTCAAGAACTTTTCTTAACAACAGGATAAACATAAATGACAAATTAATCAAACAAAACAACACATAGGCATTATAGTTACGGACAAGCCTAGATCGAACAACTTCTCCCCTTTCAGGTCTAAAAGTTGTTTAATTCAATTATAAGGTGATAACACATCTAAACCTAGGTATAACACAGCTCGTATAGATTGAACGGATCATAATAGCACGATAAATACAAGAATTAGAACAATCATCCTCTATCTTTAGCAAATGAATTTAGTTACTCATATCAAAATCAACACAAGAAATCATATTATTCAAATACATCAAATTCATAGACAACATGTACTAAAAACCTACAATTCAAAAGAAGTCGAGTGTTAATCCACAATTACAAGCTAAAATTAAAGCAAAAAGAATGTTTATATCGAAGAAAAAAATTAAAGCAAAAGAATGTTTCTAACAAAGAAAAACTAAGAAATCACAAAGTGGAAGTCCACTTTTAGGGTTGGGCACCAATCCAAATAAATAGCTTCTGAAAACTTGGTTCAAATTTTTGAATTCCAAAACCTGGTCACGACAACCCACGGGCCGCGGTGGCTTCCGCGGGTCGCAGAGAGCATGGAGTCGCGGGTCGTGATCTGGCCGTGGGACGTGGGTCTTGGGAGGCCTGGGATGCTACTATGTCTGGGGGGCACGGGGTGTACCGCGGGTCGCGGAAGGATGATTGTCATGGGTTGCGAGCTGCCATGGGACATGGATCCTGGGCAGACCTAGGCTCTGAAAATCCCACGGTCGCGGGTCCTGAGATGCTAGGTGCGAGCAGCCTCGGCGATGTGCGTTGCGCGTGATGTGTGCGCGAGGGGAGAGGCCTGGGCAAGGTCTACGCGGGCTTGCACGGGTTTGCTAGAAAACGCTAGGTGATGCTCGGGGAGGTT